TGACAGCCAACTCTCAAAAATTGAAAAGAGCCCGGATTTGGGGTCCTCTGGGAGAGCGCAGAAAAGAAAAAGAAGGAAAAAAAAAAATTCACACCCAGGTGCCCGGCCGGGCATAAAAAACTTCCTAGCAAAAAACTGAAAAAAAACTGAGATGACCAGGTAGAGTTCAGCATCACCAACTTCATGGTTTGAAGTCTGGTTCGACCAATTTCAGCCCACCAGCAAGCCTTCAGACCAATTGGCCATTTGCACCATCACGTCACTGTCATTGCATAGTGTGTCTCTCCCGGAACACCGCTCAGTTCCTTTTGCTCTGCTGCTTTTGTTTTCCTCGTGTTCCTTTTCGAACATTCTTTTCGCGTACTTCATTTTCTCTCCTTTTAAAAAAAAAATTCATTCAATTACATTTGTAGGGGATCTAGTGCATTAATTAACGGATGGGTTACCCAGTAACCCAAGTAAGGCTGAATCAAACTACCTCGGCCATCTAGTGCATTAAGGCTGAATCAAACTACCTCGGCGATCTAGTGCATTAATTTTCGCCTTTGTAGGGGATCTAGTGCTTTAATTTTCGCCTTTGTTTCCTGAACCTGCTCCTAACACACATGCAGACATCAAAGGCTCCACGGTGAAGGTTAAGTTGATGCCTGCGGGAAAGGGAAAAAAAAACAACCCAAATATGTCCTTGCGGGCATCAAAGAGTATGAAAGATTGATTTTGCTTGATGGAAACCTACTATTGGCTAAAGACAGTTCACTATCCGAGAAGAAGCCTTGGAGGGCCTGGTGATCTTACATCATGAGGTCTTGATGCAGTCTTTACAGCTCGTGCCTTTCTCTGAACTCCAAAGTATTCCATAACGATCACTATATTTGCAGTCTCAGGAAGCCAACACATGTTTGCGTAGGATCCTCAGAGTCCGATAAAAAAACAGAGTCAATTCACAATTTCACATCCTGTACTACAATATTACGCAACATTGATCATTTACAGTTACTATGGTTAGCAGGATTGATTCTGTAATGCAGAATCCGAAGAGTGGAGCGGAGATCAAGGTCAGCAACCTTTCAAATCAATTGCTGGATTCTCCATTCCTGTTATCCCGGCCTCAGCCATAAGCTTGCCAACACACCATTGCCACTTGAAAAGCTCAAGCACTTCCCCGAATACCCTGTCCAGGGGCTTCCCACATATGCTGTCCCAGCACTCCTGAACCATGCCATTAAACTCTACTCCCCAACCACACCATCACACCACTCCCCAAACACGTCATCATCGAATGGCTGTCTCAAACCCTTCCCCTCAAAGAACGAAATGGGGTTCATCACCGTGTTGGGCTATTTACGATCCAGACTTCTGGACGACCACCGGACAGTCTAAGCGATGAAGAATTTCGGGCCAGTGGCCTATTCAGCAGTCTCGAATGTCCACAACCAAAAACTGGCATCCTAACTACCTTTCCATATTAATTATGGTTAAGTAATATGAACGTATACATTCCCAAAACCTAAGAATCAAAGAACACAATGAAAAATATATTTTGGGGTTGCATAGCACTACAAACAAGATTTGGCTGCGGGTCATCCCAAAACTCTCAGCCAAGCACAAGTAAAAAGAAAACAAAACGATTCCTTTTTTTTGTGGGCGTAGGAGGGCAGAGGAAAGAGTAACAGGGCAGCCCCTGTGTCCAGGCACTGTCTTCACATAAGGAAAGAGATGCGGAGCAAGATAGCAGAATCCCTGACATGACATGAATTTGGAGCCCACACAGGATCGAGTTTTGCTTTACATTCCATCCGTTTATGAGAAAGCAGGGATCTCAAGACTGACCTGCTTCACAGCCAATAATTCGCCAGAATCCAAATTCATTCCCATATATACACGGCCATAAGCGCCAGCACCAATCAGCTCCCCTTTCCGCCAGCGAATGGGTGCAGGATTCTCCTTTGCCACAGGTGTTCCATTTGCATGATGAACCCGGTTCTCATCGGCGACAATATTACCCAAAGTATCTTCCTCCCGAGAAGCACGAGATTCGCGCGAATACCGCCCATTCTTTGACGTCTTCAAGTCGTTCGGCTTCTGAAAACCGCATTCCTCAAAAAAGCTCTGCAACAAAACCGTTTCCAACTCAGGAAATGAGCCCTCAGCACAGGTGTAAGAGTGCATTTTACAAAAGGGCAAAAGAAAGATATAGGGGGCACACAAATTCAAAAACAACAACAACAACAACAACAACAACAACAGAACGTTTTGAAGGTCATCGAGACACTGACTGCGTGTGGCTGGGACGGCGGTGTTTCCTAAAAACGTCTCAAGCAACTAATTGTAGGAAGGGCATCAAAGAAGAGAGGGAGAGGGACATACTTGGCTCGTGAGGAAATTACAGAGGAGAATCCGGATCCCAACAGGAGAGAATGCCACCACCCACACACAAACCACTTGTGGAATGAACATCATCGGGAACTATCCCTAAAAGGTACATGATGCCTTTCGACAACGGAGTACAGATCCACACATATAAGAACATGACAGGGAATCGCCTGTGAGGTACATGTTCCCGATGTATCGCAGGGTTCATGTCTGTGCACGAGTGTTTTAACAGGGACCCAAACTTTTCCGCCCATAGGTTAAGCCCCCAAGCACTGGAAAGGGCATTTGGGGATTTTTTTTCAGTTTTTTGAACTTTTTTCCGTTCTTTTCTTTTTTTGCCCTCCTTTATTTTTTGTCAAGGCTTGAGTGTGCCAAGTTTGGTGTTTGTTGGAGTCTTGGAGACGACGGTTTTGGCAAGCCCTTAAATTTTAGGGCTCTGTTAAATTTTGGCAAGCCCTGAAATTTTAGGGTCTGAGCAGTTAACCAGCAAAGATTGCGTCCCAGCAGTGGCAGATAGAGCGCAGTTGCCTGCTGCCAACTAACGACTGGCTGATATATCAGCCACCTCTAGAGCAAAAGGGCCTCTCCCTGCTATGGTGCAAATCCTGCCACCAAGGTTTCCCGAGCAGAAGAATTAGATGAACCACTTCGAGCGCGTTTTCCTAC